ACTACAGTAGGTCCAAATAATGTTCAAATATTTTATGAGATAGTTTCTTCAGTTCTCTGAAATTTAAAGCGGTCTTTAAAAAAAATGAATTTTTCTTCCCAGGACTTTGTATCTTTTGGGCTACATTCCCAAGGATAACCGCCTGTACTTGGGTGACAAGGAACTAAATGTGGTATCATATGAGCTGCTAGTGTCTGTCTTGGAGTATCAGACAGCTGTTATGCGTCGTGATTTTAACACTGCTGATCGAGTCCTTCCCACAATCCCACCTGCCCATCGCACTCGGGTTGCCCACTTTTTAGAGAAGCAAGGGTTCAAGAAGCAGGCTTTGGCTGTTTCCACAGATCCTGAACACAGGTAAGTTGTGGATGATATATCAGGTATAATTACAGAATCAATTTATGTACATTAAAAGAGAAGAGAAGAATGGATTGATGAAAATAAGTATTTCTGTTACCTCATTAGGTTTGATCTTGCCCTGAGTCTGGGTGAACTAGAGGTGTGTCATCAGCTTGCTGTTGAGGCTGGTTCAGAGCACAAGTGGCGGCTGGTTGCAGACTTGGCACAACAGCAGGGAGACCTCCAAACGGCTCAGACATGCCTCCTCCGTGCCCATGATTACCCTGGATTGCTTTTACAGGCCACAGCCTCTGGTTAGTCTTTTAAAATAATGGAGCACTTCTATTTTTAAATTTATATACATTAAGAGGTTTTCTCTAATGAAATGGTAAATTGTAATTCTATTACAGTTAATAAGTGACAGTATTTTCATGTTGAATAGTAAAACAAGAAATAATCTGTTCAGAGTATGTACTCAGTTCTGATGACAGTATAAACAGTCATGTTCGTTATTTGTATATACAGGTAATGCTGGATTGATCAAAGAAGTGGCAACTGAAGCAGAAAGCCAAGGTCGAAATAATGTAGCCTTCTTGTCCCACTTCCTGACGGGTAATTTGAAGGACTGTCTGGAACTCCTGATAAAGACCAATCGAATTCCAGAAGCGGCATTCTTTGCAAGGTTAGCTTATATGTGAACTTGCCATAGATTTTTTTATTATAGGAGGAGGAGGAGGTAGTATAACCATTTTGATTAGATTCTAATTCAAGCTGTCTTCTATACAACATAATTTTGAATGTGCACTCATGATTTTTGAATAACCCATTCACTGCTTCACAGAACTTATATGCCAAGTGAAATGTCCCGTGTTGTTGGTCTGTGGAAAACTGCTGCTGGAGAGAAGATTGGTCAGAGTTTAGCTGATCCTGCACAATATGACAATCTTTTCCCGGGGCTTAAAGATGCTGTAAAATCTCAACAGTATTTACAGCAGACAACAAAACCAATCCCGGCAGCGTCTGCATCTTCCGTACCAGTAAGTTTTCAGCTATTGTGTGGATTTCTCATGGTTGGATATTTTAATTATTATATGCAAATTATTGTACTAACAAGTCAGTTGTAAGAATTATATAAAAGCAGCTTCACCAAGTGGTAGTAGTTGTCATTAATCACAACCCTGAATTTATTTGTTTATTTATTTTTTTGCTTATTTGATATTATTTTTTAAAATTAATTAATTAATTTATTATTATTATTATTATTATTATTATTATTATTATTATTATTATTTTATTACTTTATTATTATTATTTTTTAACCTGTCTTTATATCAAATAGGGCAACCATGAGCGCAATATCATTGAGGAAATGCGAGCAGCAGAAGCATCTGGAGCCTTTGTCTACATTCCACCAGAAGGAGAGGATGTTGAATTTGTTGATGCTCCACAGCAACCAGAGAAAGGTAAGATCAAATTAGTGTTGAAGAATTGAATTTCTATCTGTATTGTTTTTGTATCAGTTATATTTACAGGTTATTAGGTATTTTGTACATACTTTTTATGTTTCATTATGCAATTCTTACCTGTTTGATGTAAACATGTTTGCGAGTAGTTTTGTATTTCATATCATCTGTTCATTAGTTTTTTGTAATCTAAGTGAAAGCATGAACTCATGTTGTATTGGTCTTTACTTCAAAGTATCATCTTTCCCAGGAATAGATAGCCTGATTGAGGAAGTACTAATAGCTCCATCAGCACCTGTAATGCCTGCATCATCGCCAGTAACTGTTGCTTCTGAACCTTTAGTTCCAACACCTGCTGCACCACCACCTGCAGCTGTCCCTACCCCAGAATTGAGTAAGTAGTAAACCTTTTTATATTCGTTATCCTCTGGCACATGTTCATGCACTTGCCATTAGAAAAAAATTTGGACCTTTAGTATTTTACATGCTCGTACAAGTCCTGTTTTAAAGAAAATATATGACATATGATCTGCTTTATTTTGCTGCCACTGCAGCTGGATTATTTTCATAAAGCCAGAATATGACACAGATTTTAACAACTGAATTGATTTTTTTCCATTGTATACTCACAGATTAAGGTTAGAAGGAAATGGTACTCATTCTCTTCCTCTTTATCTCATGAATGAAACATTGCTTTCTTTTTTAATGTGTGTAGTATAAGGTTAGCAAGGATTCTTGTAGGTCCCACATAAATTTACTAAGAAATCAGATTGATAACAAAGCTGCCCTCAGTGTTTATATATATATATATATATATATATATATATATATATATATATATATATATATATATATATATATATATATATATATATATATATATATATATATATATACACACATACACACATATATACATATATAGGTAAAATAAGAAATTGAATTACTTTTCGGATCAGATTATTTGCAAAATAGAGATATGGGAAAGTATCTGTTTAAAAACAAATATATAAAGATTACTGTAATAGATCTCATTTTTCATTTAACATGTCCCCAAAATACAGTAATAAAAGCAACTAACAAACGTTTGATTATCACTTCAACATAGTGAGAACATAGTGAGGAAGAGTTGACAGCCTTTCAGCATTATTTGGATGGATGGTTAAGGGTGATGTTATCCTCAAAGTTATCTTGTACCATGATGGGATTATAGTGTGTCAGTCTGCTTTTCTTTTCTTTTCTTTTTCTTTTCTTTTTCTTTTCCATACCTTCTTTAAGACAGGACTCAAATGTTAGAATCAATTTTTAAAATATTTTTTTATTATAGTCACTGTAGATTGTGTTCCAGGATGGCATCTGTAACTTGTTAATTATTTTTCAGACTGTGCATAATTAATCTTGAGCTTTTTGTGTATGTATTGAATTATATTGAATGTAAAAAAGTTTATATGTATGATATGGGATGAGTTGGTGTAACAATTACAATTGAATGTGTCTTCAAGAGGCTTTCTGCCACCTAGATACATTGTTGTGTTAAAGTTGTTGAGCTTTGGAATTAACTCTTTTAATTCTTTTTTACAAATTGTCTTTTTATTTAGCTCACTTTGTGATATGTTTGCTGTGGTTGTGTTAACATATCCAGACCTATGTGATTATTGCTTTGTTTCAGTAATATGATTTTTACAAATTTGCCTCATTTTTAGTTGATGATGACATCACAAAGGATGTTGGTCAAGAGCTTCGTGAAGAAGTTGATGCATTTTCTAACCCTGATGAAGATGACTGGGGAAGCAGTGAAAATATTACTGGGGATGATAATACCATAGTGGCCTCTGCCAGAGAAAAGGTTGATGTTTGCAAAGATGAAAATGAACTTGAGGAGGTGGAGGAGGAGGTATGTGTGGAGAAGGGGGGAGAGATGGAGGAGGAGGAGGAGGAGGAGGAGGAGGAGAAGGAAAATATCTTAAAACTGGAAGAGGAGAAGGAAGAGAGATTGGAAGCAGCAGGATCTGCATCCTCTTCCACAGTCCCCAGCAGGAAGATGTTTGACTGGGATGAAGATGAAGCAGAGGACTGGGGATTCCAGCAGAGTAAGGGTGAACTAGGTTATAAAGTTTGGGGTTGACTTTAAAAATTGTATGATTTGTCTTTTTACTGGGAGCAACTTCTATGCATTATCAGAGATTTCTAATTCAAATACATCATTGCCAAGATCAGTAGACATGAATAAAAGCCAAAAAGAAATTGCATGCTATATGGATAAATTCATATTTCATTTAATTAAAAGTTATTTGGCTTAATATCAGTTTTCACTTGGAATAAGAATGATTGTAATGCTCTCTGATAGTTCTTTAGATGTAAAAGAAAACAGCTCTCTGGTAAAAGACAAAGTACAATTTTTTTTCAAGAATCCATTTGGTTTTTGGGTAATGTTAGTGAAGCCATTATGCACCATTTGCTTTTGTATTGTGTTTAGACAAGCTAGTGTTTGCTGAGATATTTTGCATTTTAATTTCTTTGCTCTTGTTTTCTGTGATGCTTTGGGTTAAATTTACAGATAAGTAAATGTTAATTTAATGTGAATTTTGCATGTTTGTCAGGGTAATTTTATTCTGGTTAATACAAATGTGAGTTATTCACATTACTTTAATTTCATTTGTAGCCCCCCAGAATGAGCTAGGAGTTTTTGTGGACTTGACTCATGAGGTACCAGCTGATGGTGGCAATCCAGATCATGTGACAGGAGTCTCACAATTAATAGACTTAGACAAGCCAGAAGATTTAGCATCACCTAGATTGGTCTTAGGAATGTCTCCAGGTAGAATTTCAACCCATGAAACAACATCCCAAGATTTGGGCCCTTCTGCAACTGATTTTGAATGGGATACATCTGTGTCAGATACACTTTTAGACAGTTTTGTCATGCAGCCACAGATTAGAAATCCAGGTAACAGTTTGTTAACTGGAAAAATGCTTTGTAACACATTTTTTGTGAAGTTACCCACTGATCCAAGCAGTGTGTAATGAACTAAATAGCATGAAAAAGCCCACCCAGAAAGGAAATGATGGACTTCAGAAATGGGCTTGTGTTATTCCTTGTGGCATCTCATTGCACAAGTTTAATCATTTGTAAGACTTTACCCCCACTGGTTTTCATTTTTTTTTTTTTTTTTTACTTTTTTATTATATCAGAATGTG